TAAATTATTATAATGATGTGGGTTTCCCTAGGATAGATTTGTGCCTTCCCCTTATTTAAAGTATATGTAAACCCAAAAGCCAAAATTAAAGTACAACTCAAGGCTGCTGTATGACATTCTAAAGTTTCAAATCCAGTTACTGTTGTGATGCACAAGTAAAGTAAAAAAAATGTCCTTTACGTCCCCTGACTGAGCCAAATCCTTCTTCATTTGTGTCTCACATGCTCCCCCTCCCAGACACTGTGGGGACAGTGGGGGGGGGTTTCAGCAACAAGGACAGTGCTGTCAGTCAAGAAAGCAGGGTTAAGTGTAACCAAGTGCTGATTGACAATATACAGGCCTGTAAATCAACAGTGACAATGCTGATAGCCATGCCTCCTACACCCTTTTCTTTATTCCACTGCAGTGGAAGCAAGCACAGCCTACAAGAGAGTGGAAACTCTGCTCTGAATTCAGATGCAGTGCAGCATCATTGCCACATTATCACAGGGATTTGCATTAGGTGGATTTCACGGGAGGGATCAACAAGTATTTGTAGGACTATGCAGGGAGATGAATACTAAACTGCAAGTGGAGAGACACTTGTAATTTACTGCTGTAACATATATTTTTTGTATGGGAAGCAATAATTGTGTTTTTAAAGCCTAACAGATGTGGATGGAATCCTGAAGTCTGGGAGTTATTGCTTTGCCTGAACCAATACTAATAAAACATGCTGTCTTCTGTTCCCCTTAAAGCGGAGCTCCACCCAAAAGGGGACGTTCCGCTTTAAGCCTTTGTCCCCCCGCTCCCCATTAAGGATTGGCACCTTTGGGGAGCGGATACCTGAATTTGACAGGTACCCACTCCCACTATTGCTGCGATCGCCTAGGTGATTGGAAGCGGAAGTTGTCCTCCCCCCATAGTCTTCTGGGACATGTGACAGGTCCCAGAAGACTATGGAGCCATTCACAAAGCGCAGCGCTTCTCACGCATGTGTAGTGGGCACCTGGCTGTGAAGCTGCAAGCTGTCACAGCCCGGTGCCCACATTGAAGATGCCGGAGCCAGGGAGAGAAGACGGCCTGTGAAACCAGAGATGGTGAAGACACCTCTAGACCGAGGGACAGGTAAGTGTCTGTATTTTAAAAGTCAGCAGCTACAGTTTTTTTTTTTCAGGTGGAACTCCACTTTAACTATACATCTCTGTAACATGATACTGTTATTCAGTAGGCTGAATTTATAGTTAACGTGGCTGTGCTATGGGGAAATTATAGAGCTACCATTTTCTGGACCACTTTTAAAAATGCTAGTTGCCTGGCTGCCTCTGGTGTCAGTACTAAATGAGTGACGGAAAATGTCAGAAATTATTTTCATGGTATTTATTTCAGACAAAGGGAGAGATTTACTAAAACTGAAGCACTCAGAATATGGTGCAGCTGTACATGGTAGCCAATCAACTTCTAACTTCAAAAATGAAAATTATGAAAATCATAGTGCCCTATAGATATAGATATATATATATATGACACTATAATTTTCATATTTTAAGTTTAGCACGTTTATATGAGTATGTGTAAGTATGAACAGCTTTCATTTGAAAAGAAATAGGTGTAATATAAGGGGATAGAGGGTATATTGGGTGTGCAATAATTCACACAGTGCTTCTCGCAAGGTTACACTTTGTTATTTGAGCTTCTAACTTCAGCTTGTTCAATGAAGCTTTGACAATAAAACCTGGAAGCTGATTGGTTTCTATGCAGAATTGCACAAGATTTTGCACTTTAGTAAATTTCCAACACTGACACCCAAGCATGAGCACAACGACCAAGGAAATGACAAATCAAAAGACAGTTTAGCAAAAGCAACCCCCCATATTTACAATCATTTAGGTCTCATGCACACAGGACGTTTTAAAAACGCTCTTGTCAGCAGCATTTTGGCAGATAAAACATTTTTACAAGCTCTTAGGTGCATTTACAGGAGTCAAGCTTTTGGGCGTTAAATAATTTAATTGGCCAGGATAATAATTTATTATGGAAATTAATTAATGCGCAAGCACTAAACGCGCCTAGCATTAACACACGTTTATGCGTGTTTATATGTGTCAAGCGTTTTTTTTTTTGCCAAAATGCTGCTGCTTCTTGACGCACTAGCTCTGGATATTTTTTTCTACTGCCACTAAAACCTGCTAAAAGTCTATGTGTGCATGGACACATAGGATAAAATGGAGGGGCATTTGGAAGCAGTAAAAAAAAAAAAAAAAAAAAAAAAAACCTGACGCCTGATGTGTGCTTGAGGCCTTAAAATTGAATATTCAGATTCATATATAAGATTTGTGCATAAGGCCATTCATGTGAAAGAAAGGTAAATATGTAATCATACTTAAAGCTGAGCTCCACCCGAAAGGGGAAGTTCCACTTTAAGGGCTGCTCCCCATTAAGGACTGGCACCTTTGGGGGGCGGGGGGGAGCGGGTACCCGAATTTGACAGGCACCTGCTCTCACTTCCGGTCTGATCGCCTAGGCGATCAGAAGTGGAAGGTGTCCTCCCTCCCTGTAGTCTTTTGGGACATGTGACAGGTCCCAGAAGACTACAGGACCATTCATGAACTGCAGCGCTACTTGCGCATGCGCAGTGGGTATCCGCCTGTGAACTGAGACTGAGGGACAAGTAAGTGGCTGTTTTTTAACCACCTACCGTCCGGCCGTTTTATATAAACGGCCGGACGGTGGCACTGCAGGGTCGGGTGGCCATTTTATAAATCGCCTCCCCGCACCCTGCTTGTGCGTGCTCCCTGGGAGCCCGCAGCACCGCGATCAAGTGCCCGCTGTGTCCTCCGGACACAGTGAAACACCGATCATCAGACGGGACCTCTGTACGAGGTCCCGGTCATGTGATCACTGATTGGCCAATCAGTGATCACATGCAAAGTACTAAGCATGATGTCACTTGTGACATCATTGCTTACTACGTGTGAAATCTGTGAATGATCACAGAGGTCACATGCTACAAGGCTATTCACAACAGCCTTGTACCATGTGACAAGCTGTGACCAATCACAGCTGACTCAGTAGTTCTCAATGGCTGCAAGAATGCAGACAGAGAGAAAGAGAAATGATTGCTTTTACATCCTATATGGGTGTAAAAGCAATCAGTGTAAAAAAAAAATAAAAAATCTTCATCACCCCTCACAAGTAGTACAGTGTCACACTGTACTGCTAGGGTGACAGTATGTAAAAAAAACCCAAAAAACCCATAAATAATAATATAAAAAAATAAAATAAAAATGTTTAAAACTTATAATTTTTGGTTATAAACTAATTTTGGCTTATTTTTTTTACTAAAAAGATAACGGAATAAATTTTGGCCAAGATTTATGATGAAATATTATTTATTTGCAAAATTGTATAAGAAAAACACTTTTTTTCAAAATGTTTGGACTTTTTAATTTACATAGCAAAACAAATTAAAATCCCAGCGATGAATAAATACCACCAAAATAAAGCTTTATCTGTCTAAAAAAATTCATATGGGTACAGTGATGCATGACCGTGCAATTGTCATTCAAAGTGTGATAGCCCTGAAAGCTGAAAATTGCCCTGGACAGGAAGGGGTTAAAAGTGTCCGGACAGGAAGGGGTTAAATGTCAGCAGCTACAGTTCTTGTAGCTGCTGACTTTTATTTTTTGACAAGGTGAGTGGAACTCCGCTTTAAGTCCTGGTTCCCACCGGTGCGACTTGTCATGCAAATTGACAGTTTCAAATCGCATGACAAGTCGCACCCTATTGTCCGTAATGGAACCGTTCAAATCGGTGCGACTCTGACTTTGTGGTGTCGTAGCGATTTGAAATAAAGGTTCCTGCACTATTTTTTTCCGATTTCAGGAGCAACTTGCATAGACATCTGTGCATGAAGTCGAACAGATGTCAGCCAAGTCACACCTGAAGTCGCACTGACATGTGGCTTTGAAATCGTGCAACTTCAAGTGAAGTTGTACAATTCCAAAGTCAGCTTTAGTGTGAACTGACAACTTCAAACTGATATGTCATTGAAAGGGTAACAAAAGTACCTTTAGTCATTTACACAATGAATCCTGTTTTTTTTTCTAAAGGTAAGCCCTGTCATGAATAATTTCTCAAACATATTTGAAAATATAAAACCAAATTTGTAAGCACATACCTAAAATAAAGGGAGAGTAGAGGTGCAGCTGATCTCAGGGGACTGATGCAATCTTTGGGTCATTGCTTCCCTACCCTACCATTTTGTTCTGCACACTCCATTGCAGAGCAAACTGAGCCCTTAAGGCCTCCCTCTGCTACCACCAGCAATTAGCAAGCATAGTAATACATTCACAATAGGTGTGCTCAAAACTGTCACTCCTTGGTATATGAGCTATAAATGCTTAAAGTGTTACTAAACCCAGGACCCTGCATTCACTATACATGGTCTCCCACAGTACACACAACATAGAAGTGCAATTATTTTTAGTAAATACCTTTTCTCATCAGCGCTTAGAGCAGTCGTGTGACTTCAGCAGAGCACTGGTTAAAGCTTGTAGAAGGAGTTTTTCATTCTGCTCCAGGAGGATGCAGAACTCCTGATCTCTGTCTAGACAGTGCTGATTGGCCCTGTGCTGATCACATGCACTCTCCGAAAAAAAACAAAACCCTCTCTAGCAATACACACTAAACTGAGCATGTGCATGTGGCTACGGGTTTAGTCTGATTAAGTGGACATCTGAACAAGAAGAGGGGCAGAGAAAACAGGATCAAATGGCCTTCACAACACAGAGAAATAACCCCTTTGATTCCACAGTGAGTATAACAAGCATACTTTACTGTATATACAGACTGATTTTGCTGTTGTGGGTTTAGTAACACTTTAACCGCCTCCCACCCCCCATATAAGGCAATGACAGGAGCAAGGCGGTTCTCTCGTTCTGGGAGGACGTCATATGACGTCCTCCCATTCTAACCCGCGCATGCGCAGCTCTGGGAGCGTGCAGCGTGGCGATCGGCGGTGTGCTGTGTCCCTCGGGCCGAAGATTTTGGCTCGGTCATGTGATCATCTGTGTCCAATCACAGCTGATCTCATGTAAATAGGGAAATGCCGGTTATTGGCATTTCTCTCCTCACGAGCTGTCACGCTGACAGCTTGAGAGGAGAGCCAGTAATCCGCATTCCTCGGAGGGGACATGTACACTGATCATCAGAGCACTGATCATCAGTGTGCCCTGATGATCAGTGTAGCCCCAGCAGTGCCACCTGTCAGTGTCCATCAATGCCAGCTGTCAGTGCTCATCAATGCCACCTGCCAGTGCCCATCAGTGCCACATCAATGCCACATATCAGTGCCTACCAGTGCACATCAATGCCACATATCATGCTCATCTGAGCTGCCTTTCAGTGTCACCTATCAGTGCCAGTCAGTGCCACCTATCAATGCCAGTCAGTGCCACCTATCAATGCTGCCAATCAGTGCCAGTCAGTGCCGCCTATCAGTGCATGTCAGTGTTTGTCAGTGCTGCCTATCAGTGTCGCTTAACAGTGCCAGTCAGTGCCACCTATCAGTGCCGCCTACCAGTGCCATATATGAGTGCTGCCTTTCAGTGCCCATCAGTGATGCCTGTCAATGCCCATCAGTGCCACCTACCAGTGCCACCTCATCAGTGCCACCTATCAGTGCTCATCACTGCAGCCTCATTAGCGCATATCAGTGAAGGAGAAAAATCACTTATTTACAAAATTTTAAAACAAAAACTAAGAAAAAACTTTTTTTTTCAAAATTTAGCAAAAAATAAAAAAAACCCAGAGGTGATTAAATACCACCAAAAGAAAGCTCTATATGTCTAAAAAATGACAAAAATTTCATATGGGTACAGTGTTGCATGACTGCGCAATTGTCATTCAAAGTGCGACAGCACTGAAAGCTGAAAATTGGCCTGGGCAGGAAGGGGGTATAAGTGCCCAGTAGGTTAGTGGTTAATTTACTAAGCTATAACAATGATTAGTTGTCATAATGACAAAATAACAGGCGCATGACAAAAAAATAATAATCATTATGACAAACAAAACTTGCATTATAGTTTAGTGAATTGAAAATACTGGAGAACTTGCACCTCAATTGATAAATCCTCTACCTATTCTAATTCTAGGTGAGATATTCTAGATATTCATATATCTACCCATGTGTATGGTTTAAAAAAAATCAGGCTTTGTTAAACTGTATCTCTAGAAAAAAAAGGATTAGACCCTCTGTCAATTTTTTATTGCTGTTTGTCACCCTGTTGAGGTACTACTGTCACTGGGATAGAGTAGGGGAAGGCTAAAATGTTTGCATTGTTCCCAGAACAAAAGAAAAGTGAACATCTTCCAATGGGGATGCCTGTTTTAAGGATGGCTATCTTAAAGAGGAATTTCCTTCACTTTTCTTCTAACTCTCAGTTGCATCCCTTGGGACAGGAACTAAAGGAAAATTTCCCCCAAGGGTACACAAAGAGCAAAAAAAGCGGGCAGAGGTTTCACTCTTTCCTACTCTATCCAAAACGAAAAAAAAACGTTTTGGCGAAACATTACACTTTAATTAAATGTTGTGCAAGGTGTTACTTACAATGTGTAACACCAATCACAAGTCATCATTAGTATTATGAATTTTAATTGGTAGCTTAGATTTACGTAAAACTTAGAGCTTTTCACCCTTATATAGGCCTTTGTTTTAATTCCTTGTTCCTTATTAGATTCTAATCTCTAATATACAGGGCCTTTGTGGATTTTGTTTGCTTTTGTGATTTGCATTCTAACTTTGTTCGTATAAACTGTCTGTTCTTCATTTGTTACAGACAGTGCTTTGGGATTGCACAATATGAATAAAACATAATAATATTAAGGGTTGCAAAATGTCATAAGTATCTGACTCAGTGTCTATGGGAATGCAGGTATTCATTCATATGCATTAACCCTTGTAATGGAGAGCCTTTGTACACATGAAACACCTACCAGGCTAACATAATAAAGCACAACTTCCATAATTTAGCATCATACTTACTTCTTTTGACCAACAAGAAGGAATCAAAACCCTGAGATATGCGAAGTCTTCAGTTGTCAGTAGAAATTCTCGATTTACATTTTGCTTTAATCCACCTGCAAGGCAAAAAAGTGCTTTATGTGTAAAACTATTAGGGCTAAATTCTATATCACTTTACACTCCTGAGATCAGTTACGTTACATGTTTGACACTTTTGAACTATTTTGTATAAAAAATAAATAAATAAATATTGTGCTGCCCCAAATAAAATCCTAAAACCTATGCTTTTTTTTTTTTGCAGAAACGCACTACAGTCCATTTACCATGGTTACTCATTCACATCTATGCTTTTTCAGCCGCTGCACTTTTGGAAAGGGCCAGGGACTTTTTTTAAATGCAAAACAGTGCGTTTTTGGTTTAATAGGCTTTAACCACTTCCCGTCCGGCCCATGTATATAAATGGCTGGACAGGAGCAGTGAAGGAGCTAGTTGCCATTCATAAACGGTGCCAGCCATTTTGGACTGTGCACGCTCCCTGGGAGGACACAGCAGAACACCGATCGCTGTATGGGACCTCTGTGTGAAGTCCCGATCATGTGATCACTGATTGGCCAATCAGTAGTAAGCAACATGTCACTTCTGACATTATTGCTTACTACGTGTGAAATCTGTGAATGATCACAGAGGTCAGAGATCACATGGTAAAAGGCTATTCACAACAGCCTTGTACCATGTGACAAGCTGTGACCAATCACAGCTCACTCAGTATTTCTCAATGGCTGCAAGAATGCAGCCAGAGAAAAGGTCTTCATCACCCCCCACAAGTAGTTCAGTGTCACTATGCTGTAGTTTCTTCCGCCAGAACATACATCACCACAGGACGTACGAGCCGGCAGGAGGACCCACAATGTACGGTGCAGAAAATGCATATTCAACCCACCCGAAGGGTCAGATACTTGTACTTGTGGCTCAGAAAGGTAATTAAAGTCACTCTTCTTTTAGAGGATATTATTTTGTATACAAACGACCCTGTGGTTTATGACTTTGCATGATATCTATGTATGTTCAGAACAGCAATAGAAAAAATAAAGTTGTTTAAGGCTAGGTTCACATATGTGCGGGTGGTGCCGCTACGGATCCGCACAAAAATCCGTGCAGCCGCACCACCTGCACAGAGGAATGTGGACCCGTGGGCGGGTGCCATTAATTCTAATGGCATACCGCCCAAATTGGAAATCGCAACTGTACTGGGAACTGAGGTTCCTGTGCGGGCTGCATTTTCAGAAGTGCAGGGACTTCTTCCCTGCGTGTCACGAGGCACTGGAGTCCATTCAAATGAATGGGCTCTCGTGCCCACACAAAACGCGGCCCGCAGGAATGCGGATATGTGAACCAGGGGTGATACCATTCTAAATATGTCATTAGCAGTTGCATCAGCATTATACTGTAACAAAGACCTTACCTGTTAGTAAGCTAACTGTTATTCCCACAACAACAGCAACAATCGTTCCAATTGTACTGAAGTATAGATATGACAGGGAGTACCAGTTTATCAGCCAGGTCAGGTCTAGAGAAAAGAAAAAGCACAAACCAACCATCACAAGAATTTGCAGTCAGTTCTGTTCCATGTATGTAAAATGTTACAATACCATTTTTCTTATTCAGCTTCTTAAAATAAAGTACCCTGATGTCCTGTTTCCAACATATCACCAAAGACAAGAGGTTTATTCCTCAATTTAGGACACTGGAGGAGTCAAAAATTATTTGTCTCCTCTTTACCAAGTGTGCATTTAAAACTATTGGTTTACAGTACAAATACAGCCTAGCATTGCAAGGCCATTTACTTCAAACATGACAAATATGTGTAATAAAGTGTTACTAAGCCCACAACCGTAAAATCAGTCTGTATATATAGTAAAGCATGCTTGTTATACTCACTGTGGAACCTAAGGGATTAATCCAATATCTTGTGTAAAAAAGGCTGTTTGATCCTGTCTTCACTTATTCTCCCCTTCTACTGTCTGCAGTCCATCAGCTGATAGTACAGAGCTCTCTAGGAGTCACTCTGCACATGCTCAGTTTATAATGTATGGGTAGAGGTTTTTTTTTTTTTTTTTCTTTGAAGGGTGCATGTGATCAGCACAGAGCCAATCAACACTGTCCAGATAGTCAGAGGAGAATGAAAAAACCTCCTACAAGATTAACCAGTGCTCAGCCAGATACTGAAAGAATGCTATATACTCAGGGCCGTGGATAAGGGGGTACCACCAGTCCTCCTGTACGGGGCCCAGGCCAGCAGAGGGGCTCAGGCAGCTGGGTGAATTGGATGTGGGCAGAGAGGGTGATCGGTGTGGCGGGGGACAATTACTGGAACCGATCCCCTGTACGTCTCTCTGTGCAGCAGCTAAAAGTTGGCTTCTTCTCTGGCTTTCAGCTGCTGCAGAGAGAGCCATACAGGGGATCGGTTCCAGTAATACCCCCCACCACACCCATCACCCTCCCTGTGCACCATACGTTCCCCCTGCTGCCCAGGCCCCCCTGTGTGCCCCCACAGTGCTGCCGGCTTCCCTCCTCTCCAATAGTAGCTGTAAGCACACAAAAAGGATCCTTCAGGATTGGGGGAAGGGACCTGTAAATATGTCACATTTACCACCCCTTCCTTTCCTGAATGAACACAATGAGTGATTAGTACCAATCACTCACTGTGTTCATAAGTAAAGCCAAGTAAGCATAATCAACTGGTTTTTTTTTTTTGGGGGGGGGGGGGGGGTCCTGTCAGGTTGGCTGTATGGGGCACTATGGTCTCTAACAGCAGTCCTGTATATACTGCTGATGAGAAAAGGTATTTAGCAGTTTATATTTTTTAAGATAATTGAATTTCCATGTTCTGTGTCATGTGGAAGACCAGATATAGTGAGTTCAGGGTCCTTGGTTTAGTAACACTTTAATACTTTGTTCCATTTTATGTATACTTCTTAGTCTAAGAAGTATACATCAGACTGTCTTACAATCAGATGTAAATAACTAGTAACATGTAAAACAAAACATAAACCAGTGTACATACTCCATCATTTCTGAGATGGGAAAGAGGGACACCCATTAGCAAAAAGTAAGTAGGCAAGGGACACAGCCATACCGCACCCCCATTATATGGAGAATTAAAACACTAAAATGGTTAGTTAAACCCACAACTGCTTTTTACCCCTAGTATTGCTTAATAGTGGATTTTGAAAGTTACAAATGCAACAGTTTTGAAACTGAATGAAAGTTTTAGCATTATAAATCACTTTTTGTTAGATAAATAGTGCAGATTTCATACAGGTATATACATCAGACTAAAATGAGGGTTAAATGAAGAGGAAAGAGGGACAAAGGGAGTTTGATATAAAAGAGGGACAGTCCCTCCAAATCATACAGTTGGGACCTATGCTAGTGTATTCAAGGAGAGCAAAGGAGTATAATAAGGGTTAATTATGCTTATCCATGGTAAAATCATGAAGATTAAATCATTACCATATTTGTGACCCACTGTAAATGCTTAGTGGCCCCCACTCATGCTAACAAGGTCTGATGAATTGGAATGCGGCTGACTAGTGAGGGTGCAGGCTGGGGAAATGTTTGCCCAGACCCAAATCATGCTGCAGAAATAGGAAGAGATAGCCCGGCTGCCGCACACATTGCCCAGCCGGAGTTGTTAGCAGGTAAAAGCAGGCTCAACTCGATTCATCCAAGCCATGCCCCCAACATGTTTTGCTCTGCCCCCGGGGCTTAATCATGGAGGACAAAACATGTTGTGGGCATGGTTTGGATGAATTGAGGTGAGGCTACTTTTACCTGTTAACCACTTGAGCCAGGCTATCTCTTCCTATTTCTACAGTAATATATTTGGTTTGTTTCTAAGAGGTTTCACTGAATACATAACTTTGGCAGTCTCAGCCTGGGCTTCCGCAGGCCAGGTCCCCAAAGAGTTTCACTCCGCCCCTCGGAGCTTAATCATGGTTAAGCCCCATGTTTAAGCTCCAAGGAGCGAGTGAAATGTCTTGAGGGTGTGGTGTGGTGGGAACCCAGGCTGAGACTGTCATTCATTCCAATACCAATGGGTCTGCAAAGATGTGCGGCTTCATGGGATCCATCCTTTGCTTAAAAGTTGCTTGGAACTGAGACAAGCTCCTTCCCTGGCCTGCATTCATAGTGGTGGACAGAGGATTGCTTTCCCTTGTAGCCTAAGCGGCCCACATTTTCCATCACTGATTTACTGTTTATACTTTATACTGCACATTAAAAAACACCAAAAAGTATAGAAAAAAATGGACAAATCACTTTTTAACTGACAATGATAGACGTTTGATAAATTCCACAGTCATAACACATTTCTAAGTCCAGCACAACTTTTTTTTTTCTGTTTATAGTCCTAAGTTTTCCCTGGAAATGCCTTACATTTTCTTTTAGCGAAATAGCTGCTTCCTGCTCCAGTGCTCTGTGTTGGCATAGCTGAGTGATGACCAAACCCCTTATCAAGAATGTTCTCACACATCTTTGTACTGCTGAAGAACAGAGGGGTGCATCTGGCCAGGGAGGGGCATGTGTCCAGTCAGATCTGTTAAATCACTGATTGCACTGGATTATACTCTGCTGCCTATTGGACTACAAAATTATATTTAGACCTCCAGCAGAACTGTGAAAGCAGAAAAGTATAGGTAACTGAGGTTGTTATTAAAATGTCTGTCTGACTAAATTTTCTTTTTTTTCGTTACTTCAACTGGACATGAAAAGTAATTTATCATGTTTTAGTGACCTGCCAGTTATGTGCAGTAAATCATTGGAAGAGAAAAAGAATGTCTTCCATTTTTCTACTGTTTCTGTATCAGATGAATGAATTTTGTACCTGCATATGCTAATAAATGTCACTATATGTACCATCTAATTCAGCTACACTGATTGGTATTATACAGCAAGTAATCATGATTAAGAAGCTGCTCTAAGAGCTCTGCCATATCTCCCAAAACCTTCTCCTTAAAGAGTCAATATTGAGTAAGTACACAGCCCTCCCCAAAGTGTTCCTGCAGTGCAAACAAACAGACAAAAGCTTCTGTAGGCCAAATAATAATGCACGTTATTTGCCATTACAATAGTTATTTTCAGACATATCACTGTTATTTTCAGGTCTCATTGTTGAAAATAAAGGCTGTTATGGCAAATCATTTTTATTACGAAAGGTGTTAGTTAACATGTTGGTCAACATTCTCTGTCAATTGACTGCTACTAGGGGTTTAAAACAGAATACAGGCATACCTCGGTTTACGAATTTAATTTGTTCCGTGGGACTTTTCGTATTGTGAAAAATTTGTAAACCAAAACGCAGTTTCCCATAGGAATGCACTGAAAACCAATTAATCCGTTCCGGAGGTCAGAAAAAAGTTAAAAAAAAAGTCTTTTATCTGTTAAAAACTCTTTATAAAGTGCACTTTAAAGGCATAAATACTGTACAGGGGCATGATTAAAAATTAATTTGTAAATGCATTGAAAACCAATTAATCCATTTCGGAGGTCAGAAAAAGGTAAAAAAAAAGTTTTATCTGTTCAAAACTCTTTATAAAGTGTACATTAAAGGCATAAAGGGACATGATTTAAAAAAAATTTGTAAATGTATTGAAAACCAATTAATCCGTTCCGGAGGTCAGAAAAAAAGTAAAAAAAAGTATTATCTGTTCAAAACTCTTTCTAAAGTGCACTTTAAAGGCATAGTACTGTACAGGAACATGATTCAAAAAAAATTTGTAAATGCATTGAAAACCAATTAATCCATTCGTATTGAGGAAAAAATTTGTAAACTGTGCCATTATTTTCAATGAATTTGCATTCGTAAACCGAAAATTACGTTAACCGAGTTGTTTGTAAACCGAGGTATGGCTGTATGCTTAATTTCTCACAAACTGTCCTGCACATAAATGCTAAGAGCTGTTGTGTACATTTTACAATTCAGCTAACAATCAGCAAGACTACCAGTTTAAATATAACTACTTTATATTATTAAATATATTACCTTATCATCATTACCAATTTAGATTTTTTTAAAAACAGTTTAATGCACCTTTTGCTACCATGTAACACATTTTTCAAAATTGTTTTTAATCACTGATAGGTCCAGTTAATAGACTCAAACCTAGGCTGGCCCCCTTATATACAGAACATCTCTATCTTACTAAACTTCTTAGCTCATGTTATAGATATGACACCATCCATGGAATTCATTTTAGCTGGAAAACCTAGATTTAGGAATCCTTATTGAATCAATGAACTTATACATAAATGTGCCAGATCACTTTATAAGGCTTCATGAATACTGGGTGTTTTTGATGCTACTGTTAGGGGTGTCAGACTTTTTTTTACTGCTTCTAAACTCCCTTGCATGTTAACCTAGGTGTTCATGCACACATAGGCTTTTAGCAGTGTTTTGTGGCAGGAGAGTTTAGTTGCAGAAAAAAACATTGCCAGCGTGTTCTGGAGTAGCAACATTTTGGCAGAAAAAAATTCTGACAGCTCCTAAACTCTCCTAAACTCTGTTAAATGCTGGTTACCAGCATTTGTTTTCTAAGCAGAGGCCACCGGCATCCCTAATAACTAGTAAATAGCTGGTCGTTAAGGAGCGGGCTGGCAAGCCGTCCGCTGTATCCTTAACAACAGATGAGTCATCAGCTGTCAGCAATTGGCAGCAATAAAATATTGAGAAAATAACAGCGTGGGGATCCCCCCCAATCCATACCAGGCCCTTCAGATCTGGTATGGATTTTAGGGGAAACCCCATGCCAAAAAAAAAATGGTGTGGGCCCCCCCCCAAAATCCATATCCCTTATCCAAGCATGCAGGCCAGGAAAGGAAGGGGGTGAGTGTCCTGCCTTCCTCCTGAACAACCACACCAGGCCACATGCCCTCAAAATGGGGGGGGGTACTTTGGGGTAGGGGGGCTCCCCCCAAAGTACCTTGTTCCTATATTGATGAAGACAAGGGTCTATTCCCAACAACCCTGGCCCCATGGTTGTGGGGGTGCGGGGGGTGACTTATCAAATCTGGAAGCCCCCTTTAACAAGGAGCCCCCATATCCCGGCATTCCCCTTATGTGAATAAGTATGGGGTACATAGTACCCCTGCTCATTCACCTAAAAAGTAGTAAAAGTGAGGAAGAACACACCAGTTTTCAGCAATTTTTTGTTGCCTACAATTGTTTTGTTTACACTGCTGATAGCTGATGACTCACATGTTGTTAAAGATGTAGCGGCTGGCTTGCCAGGCCTACTCCTTAACAACCAGTTGGTTGTTAAGGACTCTGGCAGCCCCGCTCCTTAATGCTATTAAATGTAGCTTACACACTGTGCAAAACCCTGCTAAACTTTGGCAAAAAAGCTAAAATAATAGCATTTTTTTTATCCAGGTTTTTTTTTTAGCAGTTTTTAGCTTCTAGTGTGTTTGAAGCCTAAAGATGAAGTAATAAAGAAATATCACATACCTTTCCCCAGCTTCAGCTTGAGTTTCTGACAATATACCAGTCACTGCAGGAAGTGCTGTTGTTAACGTCCAGTTAGTGTCTACAGTGCTGAAATTGCAGCCCTCTGTTGACAGGAATTTGGGTAGAGTTCTTATAGGCAGAGGAGGGTAAAGCTGAGATCCAATACCAACCCATAACGAAATTGCAAAACCAGACAAGAGACCAGTCAACGCACCCTGCAATATGTAAGAAAGCATTTACAATATAATTCCAGACAAACCTTATTTTTTTGTAGATAGAGTTTTGAATTTAGAATTTACTGCTTTTTGTGTACCCACTGGAGACATTTTTCACATTCCCTGCCCATGAGATATGACAGGAAGGGAGAAGTAATTTTTCCAAAGTGAGGAGAAATTCCAGCTCTGACAAAAGTCAGTGGAATAAACATGCCAAAGTTTCTAATCCTTCCTTTCTAACCAAAAATGTTAAAGTACATTTCAGGGCAAAATAGAAAATATAACTGAATGTACACATTCAGTACATTTCTGCAATACATGCTCATTTTCTCATGTTTCTGTACTATGGCAGATGGATTGGGACAGTACAAGAAGGGGAGGATCGGAGATGACAGGATTCCTTTAAAAATGTTGCAAGTACAAATAAAATACCTGTTGATCTGCCAAAAACGCAGTGGGGTTGATTTACTAAAACTGGAGAGTGCAACATCTAGTGCAGCTCTGCACAGAAACCAATCAGCTTCTAACTTCAAGTAAGCTTTGACAAAAAAAACAAGATGCTGATTGGTTTCTATGTAGAGTTGCACCCAATTTTTTAAGCTCCAGTTTTAGTAAATCAACCCCATAATGTTCGTAAATTCCTGTTTCAGTCCCTTTGCTGTTCTGAAATCCCAAGCAGCATTGTTTGCCCTGCCTGATGGACTACAGCACTCCACCTTTCCCCAACCTCTCTGTCCTTCTCAACAGGCAAACATTCATTTCTTTTCCAGCAAAGCAATGCTGTTGCCTTGACTCCCATGAGCCTTCCTACACATGTTGAGGCTGAATTACTAAAGGATTTGAGAATGTTCAGCACAATAAATTGTGAAAAGATCCATGTGAAAATCTAGTGAAAAGGAAATCACTGATTACTTATTTAACCACTTCATGCCCTTACGACGTACCTGTACGTCCTCAGGTTGAAGTGGTTGTACCAGGCTCATGGCTGCAACTGCAGCCATGATTCCCATAACAAAATTTTCATCCAGTGATTGGCTTTACTGTAGGAGTGATCCCAATGACTGTACAGCTGCCTTTTCACTTCTACGCCGCCCTTCTTGGGCTGTCTTTTACGCAATTGGGAAACCCCATACAGCTGCCATTAGGTATCCTGGAAAACACAGAGAGGAGGAAGGTACATCTGTACCCATCCCCCTCTGTGATGTAAAAAACCAGAAGCAACAAGGATTTGGTCACTTTTGGTTTTGGTTTGATGTTTACAAGCCATTTTCAACTTGTAAAGCATCTAATAAAACAGATATTTATTTGATTAGATGCGTTTAAGGGCAGCAGAGAGATCTGGGGTCTACTAGAGACTTTTAATACTGTCTAAAAGAGACAGTATTAAAAAATAAATAAATACATTTTTTTCAAAACGTTAAAGCATCCCAAACCCCTGTACTCACTTGTAAATGCAAGTGCATACATACAGTACGTCAAACAACAAACGACGATGTATATTTTATTATCCATAGGTGATGCTTTAAAAGCCTTTACAGGCTACCACTTTAGATTTCCAGAGGAGGTCTGGTGCTAGAATTACTGCCCATGATCTGACATTCGTGGCGAAACCTCACGTGTGGATCAATTGCTGTTTGTTTGAGTGCTTTCACCTTTGCATGCAAGCACATGAGAATGGTCAAGCAGGAGATGTCTGGCTAGGTTTGAAAATGTCAGTGGAGCAGTAGTCACCTTCTGATCTGATCCCTGACCATAACCTGGCTGTGAACCCCTTCCCACACAAATAGGTTATACTTACTATGGAGTTTGTAAAGGGAAAGAGGATTCCTAGAGAAAACAGACCTAGCAAAGGTCCCCCCACCATACCGAAGATGGAAAGAGCAGCCTGTAAACAAAGAAGCAGGATTAATGGCATTGCAGATGTAATATTCATCTTCATAATACAAACCATTGTGCGATTTATTACTTTGTTTGAATCCAGCCAAATATTTACAGTAAACATGACTGTTCTAATTATATTTGCTTGGAGGCCCTCAAATAACCTCTATTTCAAAATGATCATCTTTCTGTTTGTTCTATTTATTATGTGCTATGTTAATGAGCTAAGATTTTTTATTATATTCCTGTCTTTTCTAGCATAATCATGAACTATACAGAAAATTACACAACATTGAAGGACCAATGAACCCAAAAGTGAGTTAAAACCAAGTTTCTTGTTCCTGAGGACAAGATCTTGCAGCTTGCAAGGCCTTTCCTAGATTACCTGAGTATTTTGAGTGTTGTCACCCACTTTGTATTTTAGAACCTTAAAAAACTTAAATATCACTCAATTTTTGTAATGTTCCACAAACATAAAGGTGGAAAGTGTGAATACAAATGTGCTAATTAAGTTGATACTATTAAAAGATTTTCTTTTTGAGGTCAGAGATAAACATTCTGTTTCTGACTAATCGTTCCAGGTGGCACATATGTTTTTTATCTCCAGTATTTGCATAAATGAGGATTACTGTAATGAAATAAGCTCAGTGATGTTTTTCTATATTGTGTAAGTTCTGATTCACTACCTGTAATAAGCCACCCATTAGGGATGCCAAGCCCGCCATGGCAATACATATCGCACCATACAAGAGACCTGTACAAACAGAAGAATAAAGAGATAAGTTAAAACCCTGATACTCAATTGAGAGAGAATTAATCGCATTTAGGAATGAGTAAATTACATCAGAAAACAAATATTTTAGTGTGAACTATACAATTCAGTAAATTACGAGTTGACAACAGTATGCTACTTTAAACAATTCCTAGAATCTCTTCTTTGTTTTTACAGTTTGTGATTTTCTTGCAGAATTATTCAACTATGGCTTAATATCATCATACTTGTCCCTTTGGAAATCCATGACAGCTTGGTTTCACTGAGGGACTTGTAGAAAGGTTTCACAAGGTCTTCCACTGTGACAGCAGCTAAAGCATTGATACTGGAGGACACAGTACTGAAAAAAAATTCAATATAGCCATAAATATGGTATCTCTTTAATTTTTATCTGTTCAAAAACATAAAAACTAATGTTACATTACATTCAATCATTGACTATAGAAATATTTGCCATATTGGCACATACTGTAAGGCACTTAACTGTATGTAAATGCATTAAAGTCTAACTAAAGGCAAACCTTTTTATTCGCTTTGGACAGAGTGGAGATTATTATTATAATACAGGATTTATATAGCGCCAACAGTTTGCACAGCGCTTTACAAAATAAAGGTAGACATTACAGTTACAATACAATTTGGTACAATAGGAATCAGAGCGCCCTGCTTGTTAGATCTGGAGATGGATTAGAAAACCTGTTTTTATTTAGTTTTTATTGTCGTCTGTCCCCATTATGGAGATTCTCCCTCTCTATTTGTCCTGATTACCATTATCACTGAAAGTGAAAGTAAAAGAAAATCCCACATTTTGAGTTGCCTCCAGAAAACGAATAGAGGGGAAATCTCTCAATGTGGACACTAGTTCTGGTGACCTGGGGGGGGGGGGGGGGGGGTCCAAGGGATTTCCTTAATTTGCAGGTTTATCTTTAATAATAGTACAATTATTCCAAATGGCCCTAGATAGCAGTTACAAACAACTTCCATGTATTTTCATCTAACTATGTAACATGAATGAGGGACATTTAACACAACTTAAATCACTCTGATAATGCTAGTATCTTGAAATTGTTTGTTAGGGTTATGCTCAGTGATGGAACCCATTCAGCCCAATGAGATATCAAATTTTAGCAGTGAAAAGAATGAGAGATGGTTTTTGAGTGCCCGTTGCTATGCATGCACGATGCTTACTACTGTAATTCTAATAAAATAAACAGCTTTTTGTCCAAAGATATAATGTTTGACTTTGTAGATCACATAACTAGAGGAACCTAGCAACCAGCGTACTTAATTATTCATACGGTAATAACCAGGGCTTTTTTTTTCAAAGTATAGGTGCAGGAACTCTCCCCTTGTCTCCGCCCCCTACCCACCTACAAGCACCATCCTTTGGTTTCACTGCCTACCCACCTACCAGGTGAATACAGAACCAAGTATCATTTTGTGGTGTTAAGTAATTTGTATGGAATTTGCTAATGATAACATAAAAATCAGTAAAACAGATCCCCTGCTGCCAGCAAACAAAGCACCTCCAGAAATAAAATACCCCCCAGAAGCAATAGACACACTCCAGCAACAAAAGACCCTGCCAGCAACAATAGATCTTCCAGCAGCCAGCAAAAACAGACCCTTCCTTCATCAAGAGATCCTATCCTCCCCGACAACAATAGATCCTCCAGCAGCCAGCATCAATAGACCCTCCAGCACACTCCTTGTCATTACATACATCCAGTGCTTGAGTTGCTGGAACTGGGTTCCCCTGTGTTACCGCTGCAAAAACATCCTAGTAATAACAGTTGACAAATACATGGGAATTCAAAGAACTGAACATACAATATATTTAGTTAGGCCATATATGTTTTGTAAATATGAAATAATAACACATGATAAAGAATGTCCTAAAAGTGTAACAAAAGGCAAACGTTTTTTAGCCTTGGATAGAGTGAAGAGAGATTAGAACACTTATTCATTGTAATTGCTAATAATTGCATGTAAAATCCGACAGGTTGGTTGTACTCAAGTTGATTAATTGATCAACTTGGGTACATTCTGCCTGCCTATACATGGTTCAAATCTCGGCCGGTCCCTGCTGAACTGGTTGAGATTCAAACCATCTATGACCGGCTTAAGTATATAAATCCATACATTAATAGGACATGCAAGATGGAAGGTGGTAAATGGAATGTGATTTACCTTAAGGTTCCACTGTATGCACAGGCAACAAACAGTCCTGGAAGTCCTGGATAGTCCCGCAAAATGTCAAGGGAAAGGTAAGGCATTAGCTGAGAAAAAAAAATGTAACATATTATTATCTTTTGTTCACGTATTCCCCTTTGTGCCCGAGCATGGATATTTTTCTAGGTGAAAGAGAACTGTTCCACTGACTAATGCTGGAAAGTTTATTGACTATATAACAATTAAGCTGAGCTGAGAAAGATCAGAGCTACAATTACTAATTAAAGTGGTTGTAAAGGTAAAAAGCTTTTTACCTTCATACATTCTATACATGAAGGTAAAAAAACCTTTAGTCTGCTGCTCCCCTCCAGCCCCCCTAATATTTACCTGATCTCGATCCAGCACTGTGGAGGGGAGCAGCGGCTCTCCAGATTCTCTCCCTCCTCATTAGCTCAGGCACAGTTGGAGGAGAAAACAACTCCTGCTGTTGTTGATCACAGCCAGTGTAGATGAAGAGGGGTGGGACTAAGCCCCACTCTGTGTGTCAACGGACACACAGAGCGGGGCTTGAGAGCAAGCATGCACAAGTGCCAAAATAGCAAACGCCTTGCTATGGGGGCACTCAGTGGGGGGGGGGGGGGGGGGGTAGAGAGGCACTGACTGGAAACCTGAGAAGAGAAGGATGCTCTGTACAAAACCATTACACAGAACAGGCAAGTATAACATGTTTGCTAAAAAAAGAAAAAAAAGAAAAAAAACACAGCTGGTTGGGACACTTAAGGGAGCACATTTATAATGGAGAATCACAAGGATTTCTGAGGACTTAGTCAGTGATTGGCAATTAACCATTTGCCCTCCAGAGGATTTCTGACCAGCCATTTTTGCGTTACAGCCAGGGGCGGACTGACCATTTGGAAACTCGGGCACTGCCCGAGGGCCCGGGGTCAGTAGGTGGCCCCATGAGATGCCCCTGATACCTTTTTCATAGGCTTTTTTGAGTTTGGGCAAGGACACAGGGGCCCCATGATCCCCTATTGCCCGGGGGCCCCATGAGTTGTCAGTCCACCCCTGGTTACAGCGCTGTGTTATTTTAACTGACAACTGCACGGTCATGCAATGCTGCACCCAAATTAAATTTAGGTCCTTTTTCCCCACAATAGAGCTTTCTTTCAGTGGTATTTGATCACCTTTTTTTTATTTTTTGAGCTATAAACAAAAAAAATGACAATTTTGAAAAAAAAACAATATTTTTGTCTGTTTGCTATAAAACATATCCAGTAAAAAAAAAATTTTTAAATCAAATTTCTTCATAAATTTAGGCCAAAATGTACTCTGCTACATGTCTTTGCTAAAAACAAAAATCCCAATACATGTAAATTAATTATGTGAAAGTTATAGCATCTACAAATGGCGGCATATATACTGGAATTATTTATTTTTATACTAGTAATTGTGGCGATCATCGACTTATAGCAGGACTGCAGCGAGCGTTCTGACACTGGGTGCAAACTGACTAACTGCCACTGACATCCCAACTAATACAGTGATCAGTGCTAATAAAAGGCACTGACTCTGTACTCATGACACTGGGTAGGAAGGGGTTAACATCTGGGGCGATCAAAGCGTTAACTGTGTGTGGTTTTACATAATGTGCTGTGCGTTTTACTAGGGAAACACACATGTCTCTCTCCTGTCCTGTCTCCTGTCACATGTCTCTCTCCTGTCAGTGTTAATCAGCGATCGACAGGTGGTGGCGGAGAATCTCCTGCCAGGACCCGGTGATTGATATCCGTAGCCGCCAATGGCAGCACGGGTAGCGTGGCGCGCACGCTCCCCCTACCCGGAAATGCAAATCACGTATATATACAAGACTTTTTGCAGCCCTGCCGCCCTGCCGCTGGGCAAGTGGGAAGAAAAGTAATAATCTTGTTCACTCTATGGACATGTTTTCATGTATTGTTTTGGACTATTATGGTGGTGTGGTTTCTAAAATCTTCTGGAGATTTTATTGTAGTGCTGCATCTAAAATTTATGTAACATATAACTTATATATATCACAACTGAAAATGTATTACTGTTTCTCAGTTTTGGAGGGTGATAGACAATTACAGTATTAAAGTAGAACTATAAGGCAAAAAACTTTAAGGATAGCACAAGAGAAGGTTATAACCCTGTCAAATTTCTTTTTGCCATCTGTGTCCCATAGGGGAGATTTCCCTTCACTTCCTGTACTATGGCCAAAACAAGAAGTAAGAGGAAATCCCTGGAAATTAAGGGAATCCCTTGTGGCCACCAGATCATTAGAACTAGTGGAAGATTTCCCTCTATCACTTTTCTGGGCACAACCCAAAATTTGGAATTTTGTTTTACTTTCACTTTCAATGGCAAATAAGACAAAAAGAAAGGATGAACCTAATAGAGGTTCTAATCCATCCCCACTTTATCCAAAACTAAAAAAAAAAGTTTTGCCTTTAGTTATACTAGAAGGAAAGAAATGTATTGAGGTGCAGCTCTATTGGGTTTACTATTTCTTACCTGATCTGGAGCTGACACGAATTTGGCAGACCATGGATCGCAATCCTTGTATATAGAGTACATGGCCAGTCCACTTAATACTGCACAGGAAAGGATAGCCCAAAGTCCTACCAGATTCACGTATAGGGACCTGCATTTACACAGAGATATGAGACATTTAATGCAGAAATTCTGGACTATATTTAATACAGTGTATTAATTTTTTGAGCATATGTGTTTTAAGTCACTTATTAAAATCAAATTTGAATTAAGTTCAAAATACTAGCAACAATTTACAAAGCTATCCACAACTCTGCTCCAGCTAACCTAACCTATTCTCAAAATACCAACCTAATCGTTCTCTTTGTTCCTCCCAAGACCTCCTGCTCTATAGCTCCCTTGTCACCTCCTCCCATGCTCGCCTCCAGGACTTCTCCTGAGCTGCTCCCATTCTCTGGAACTCCCTACCCCCGTCCGACTATCTCCTACTCTGTCTACTTTTAGACAATCCCTGAAAACCCATCTCTTCAGAAAGGCCTACCCTGACGCCACCTAACAACTGTACTTTTATTTTCTCCATCAGCTCATCCCTCACAATTATTATCTTTTGTATCTCTTGTCCTTCCCTCTTAGATTGTAAACTCTAATGAGCAGGGTCCTCTGATTCCTAGTGTATTAAATTGTATTGTAATTACACTGTCTACACTGTCTTATGTTGTAAAGCTCTGCGTTATCTGTTGACTCTATATACTGTAAATCCTGTATAATAATACAATAATAGTCAAGCTTTGGTTCACACTGCCAATAATATTACACATAATAACACAGCAAAGCAACTAATGAACAGCAAACTGCAATACTGTGAACTCTACAGTACCATCTAGTATTTAATATGATATTGTATAGTAAAAAGAGATCAGTAAATCAGGCTTGGTTAATATACAACATGCAGATGCTACATTATTAGCTAGAGAAAACCCCATTCAGCTACAATAACGTAAACCCCTAGAGATAGCACCTTTTAGTCTGTGCAGAGGATACTAAAACCCTCATTGAGTATTTGCATCTTATCTTCTCCTGCATACATTCAAAATTATGCCTTTTCTCTCTCATTACAGCTGCAAGCTGGAGAAATAATTTATAAACATATTACAAGATTTACATATTCTGAAGTGCTCCTCATTTGCTAGTTCAGCCAACTGCTAAGGCATTTTACATTTTTTGATGTCTGTAAACTCATTTTACCATTGCCAAGTGACTTCAATAGAGGGGATAGATTAAAAAAAAGACACCACAGGAAACTATTCATAACAGATGCAGAGCGTGCTTATGCCTTGGGAGCAGGGGTGGACTGACAACTCATGGGGCCACCAGGCAATAGGGGATCATGGGGCCCCTGTGTCCTTGCCCAAACTCAAAAAAGCCTATGCAAAAGTTTTTTTTATATTATTATTTAACGGGGTTTTTTGAACATACTGTCACCCTAGCAGTACCATAGTGACACTGTACTACTTGTGGGGGGTGATGAAGATTTTTTTTTTCTACACTGATTTCTTTTACACCCATAAAGGCTGTAAAAGCAATAATTTCTCCTTCTCTCTGACTGCATTCCTGCAGCCATTGAGAAATACTGTGAGAGCTGTGATTGGTCACAGCTTGTCACATGGTACAAGGCTGTTGTGAATAGCCTTGTACCATGTGACCTCTGTGATCATTCACAGATTTCACATGTAGTAAGCAATGATGTCAGGAAGTGACATCTTGCTTACTACTATTCATGTGATCACCGATTGGCCAATCAGTGATCACATGATTCGGGACCTCACACAGAGGTCCCGTACAGCGATCGGTGTTCCGCTGTGTCCTCCGGAGAATGGGCTGTGAATGCGAGCGCCATTTATAAACGGCAACCCACTCCTGCACTGCTCCCATCTGGCCATTTATATACATGGGCCGAACGGGAAGTGGTTAAACAGTTGTCACCGTAACAAGACTGACCATTGGAAGACTGGAGTGCCCACTGCAAGATTATTCCTTCTACCCATGTTCTTGTGACAATTCTAACTTTTGACTTTTACTCATTTTCATTTTCTGGTGATCAGGACAAATCAAGAGGGGGTAATCTACCTAGAAGGCACACAGACAACAATAAAACCTGACAGATGTTCTAATCTCTCTCCACTTTATCCAATACTTAAAGTAAATGTTTTTACACTTTAATCCGCTGACCATACGAAACTACTGCACACTTTTCCGAACCATCTTAGGCTATCTGAGACTGGACCATTCACAAATTTAAAAAAAATGGTCTAAAAGCATGGCCATGAGCTCATATTTTTCAAAAGCATTCAACCTATCTTTCAGAAATATATTTTTTCTTTCACAAGAGAATACAAAACTTACATTTTAGCTTGAAATCTGGTTTTGCAAGCGATATATCTCTGCACTTGTGACTGGTTGACACCATAGATTCCAGTCCACGTGAATGTTCCTCCAACAACAATGGTCCAAAAGGAGTGTCGCTGTAGTGGACTTAGGTTGAAACTAAAATAATTGTGTAATAAATTATGAAAATATGAACAAATCAGAATTTTCTGAAATCCTAGTAAGTAATAACATTTAATTATGATAATATTCAGTTGCAAAAAAAGCAGGTTTAGAAACTTTCTTGCCAATTTATGTGCTTACTCCCAAAAATTCAGCCTGTCTCCATAAAATGAGTCATTTAGAATAGGACCAATTCCACCTTGGACTACCACGGCTCGAATGATGACAGATGAAAACCCAGCAACCATGATGCCAACCTGGAACACATCAGTCCACACAACTGCTTTAAGACCACCCTAAAATAAAAAGAATGTAGATATAAAAGTCAGGTTCTGTGATTCTATCAGGGTAAAGTTCTGGGCAGCCATTTTATCTGTCAATCCTATTTTGTTTTACATGTTTGCCAGTTATTGTGATAGTTGAAACATTCTGCGTAAAAGGCAGTGGGTGATGATGGTAGACTGTGCTGTCCGACAGCATTACCCATCATGCACAGTTCACCTAAAAATCTTATATTATGGAACTGCTGAAAACAAAGGCTTGTAACTTAAAGTGGTTGGAAGGGCTCAAGGTTTTTTTACCTTCATGCATTCTATGTATGAAGGTAAACACCTTCTGTGTGCAGCAGCCCCCCCCCGCCCCCCAAAACTTACCTGAGCCCATCTTGATCCAGCGATGTGTACAAGAGTCTTGGCTCTCTTAGGTCTCTGCCTCCTCATTGGCTGTAGAAAATGGTTTCCACTACTGTCAATCACAGCCAGTGAGCCAGGGAGAAAGCAGGGGTGTGGCTGAGCAGCGTTCTGTGTTTGAATGGACACACAGAACAGCAGTTCGAGAGCAAGCCTGCTTGGGTGCCCCCATAGCAAGCTGCTTGCTATGGGAGCACCAGGCAGGAGGGAGGGGCCTGGAATGCTGGCGGGGGACCTGAGAAGAGGAGGATCGGAGCAAAACTATTACCAGAGCAGGTAAAAATAACATTTTTATTACAAATAAAAACATAAACGTTAATGTCACTTTAATCCAAAAAAGGGTATGTATGTATGGGCGATTAAGGAAATGCAACCATTACTAACCAGCGTGCAGTAGAAAGTGCAGACTACTCCAGTGGCCACCACAGCACCCCACAGGTGAAATCCAGTTACTAAAACAAGCATAAAGATGACCCAGAATTAAAGCACTGAAAAGCAAAGAAGCATAACATACAGTTTACAGACCATCACAATTGTATCCACTGATCACTCCAAGTGTAAAGTGTATGTATAGCTAAAAATATATTTTTTTACATTTAGATAGAGCAGGGAAGAGTTAAAATCCCTCAGTTTATGTTTTTGCTTTCTTTGTCCCATTGGGAATATTTCCCTTTTTTTCTGTCCCAGACACTCAACAGGAACTCAGAGGAAATCTCTACAAAGTTAGTTGTTATTTGAACATGTGACCCCAGACTCCCCATAGGAAGATTTGCTCTCTCCCCTTCTGGTGACAATTGTAAGAGCTTGTATTTCTCATCACTGATACAAAGGAGATACTCTGGATAGCCGCACACCTTGTTCCACTTTTATTACTTCATATGACCATAAAATAAGAACAGTGGAGGAAGGAATGGATTGATACATTTCGTGCTCCCTTTAGTGCTTAGTTATAACCCAAGGAGCAATAGATAGGTTAAATCTCCACAGAGAGGATTAATAGCACTGGTTTAATAACATGTATGACCAGGGGCGGACTGACAACTCATGGGGCCCCAGGGAAACAGGGGATCATGGGGCCCCTGTGTCCTTGCCCAAATTCAAAAAGCCTATGAAAAAGGTACCAGGGGCATCTCATGGGGCCCCCTACTGACCCTGGGCCCTTGGGCAGTGCCTGAGTTTCCAAATGGTCAGTCCGCCCCTGTGTATGACTGTTATCTCTTGATCCTAAAAATGATTTTGGAAAACTCAAACTGGGCTTACCATAAATGTAGTGAAAATTAGGAAACGTGATATTCCCTCTTTTTTAAATAATTTTCTTATATTTTCAAATCTCACTTCTTACTCATTCTGTTAAGTCAGTGGACTCCAAGATGATAGGTTATTGATTGTTCAGTTGATCGGCTTACCAGAGTTTCAAATGGCTAATTAAAATGAGAGATGCTTAAAAGTTAAAATACTTTATAGTTTCCTCTAAAGCTGGCTATAAACTGTTTGAATACCAACCAATTCCTGTTGGCTCTGCCAAAATTCTAGCAATGTACAGTCCTGCCAGCACAGCTCTGTTTGAGAAAAGTCAATTGTTCAATCAATTAAAGGAGTCTGTTGGAAAAATTGCCAGACAAACAGCGCCTGCAGCCAATCACATACAATAGAATGGCATAAGAGATTCATTCATCCATGCTGTTAGCGAGGATCAAGGAATCTTTTAGATTTCTTTCATTAAGCTCGCAGGCTAAAAAAAAAAAATCTATACATGTATGGATGGCCAGTTTCACCCTGTCTGCTGTTTATAATAAAGGGGTTGATTACTTAAACTGAAGAGTGCAAAATCTGGTGCAGCTGTTCATAGTAGCCAATCAGCTTCTAACTTAATCTTGTTCAATTAAGCTTTGACAAAAAAACTGGAAGCTGATTGGTTTCTATGCAGAGCTGCACTAGAGCTCACACTCTCCAGCTTTAGTAAATCAACCCCAAACACTCTGTCATCATAGTCTAGGAATGTAAAGTTAAATAAAACCAAAAATGTAATATATTGCAGCTTACCAATTATTAAATGTGGTGGCTGCATTTGTTTTCTTTTTTTAGGCTTTTTCCCCTGTTTTCACCTGGTGATCTGGCCTCTAACACTTCCTGTATTAGAGTGTTCCCACTCTGGATGAAGGAGTACAGGGGTCACATTTGTACAGCAGCATTATTAATCCGGGGGGGGTGGGGGGTGAGGTACTGTAATGTTAGATGTACTAGCAGATTTAAATATAGCTGCATTTCTGCTAATACTTTATAATCAGTTACAGCAGGTTTTTTTTTCCTTTTGGGATAAAGGTTTTATACAAATAAATACAAGCTGACCATTGTAAGCACCCCTCTATTCTACAATAGATAACATGCCTTTATCTAAAATTAATAATTTTTGTAACTCAAACTACAATTTTCCTGCAATGTACGCATCATATTTGATATCTAAACCATTTACTTCCTTAAGTGCTTTGCAAACAGTATAAAGCCACAAAGTTGCAAGGTTGTGTACCTACATCATCAAGTACATGTCATAAATATGCAAACTTTGTACTTTAATTGCTATTTTTTTTGTATTACATGTCTTACCTTGATTTAATGCCAAAGCTGGAGCATAAATGACAATTCCTGTGTAAAGAATCTATGGAAGAGAAAAAGATAGAACATGTGCAGCAACATAAATTAGTATTTTTTGTTTAATTCCAAATAAAAAAAACCACAAAGAATACTGTAATTACTAAATAAACCGTAAATATTGCACTTATTTCATAGCATCTATTATCAGTTGAAAGGGATTCATACTCCATGCCATTTAACTTGTGCCTAGTGTGCGCTTCATACTAGGCAGAGAATGAATGTTTTTTAACCTCTTTTCTGCTAACGTCAGGGCAAAGTGTGTGAAAATCAGTGATTTTTGACTGTAGTGATGAGAAATCTCGAAGGAACAGATGTACAATTTTTCTCAAATTAACTAAATTCTAGCTGTGAATGTGAATGAATTTCTCATTTTCATTTCAAAAACACTTGCAAAACATAAATGTAGTAAAGTGTATATAATAGAAATGCGGTGGCTGCATTCATTTTCTAATTTTCAGGCTCTTTTCACCTGGCAGTCCTGCCAGTAACATACTTCCTACACTAGAGTACAGTGCAGCATTGGCAACACACTACAGGAAGTTAGGTGCTCGCTGGTGTTCTGGCAGGATCAACAGGTATTTTTTGGTGAGTATAAAACAGATTTGCTGCAACACAACACTTGTAATGGTATATTTCAAAGACCAAAAGGGAGAAAATAACAGGAGGCCATTGTTAGGGTTTACATACACATTAGGGCACCATAAAACACTTGTATCTGATGTGAACAAACCTTTACATGATAGATTTAGTAAGACAATATAAACAATTAACTGACTGTTCTTACTGCAATAAAACCATTGGAGTGTACAGGGCTTGACATCAACAAGTTAAAGTTCCTTACAATTATTCACCTTGTATTTGTGGTGTAAATCTTATCCTCACCCCTCATCACATTATACTGACTGTACACTGATCCACTGTTATCAATGAAATACGTAATACATAATTAGGTTCATGAGTGCAGTAATGATATATAAAATATAGTCTAACAAAGGTGAAAATAATCATTCTTTTTGCAATGGACAGAACACGTATGGCAATCTTCCAATCTCTTACACAATTGGGTCTTTTTGTAATTTTTTTACAACTTTCTCCCAAGATTCACACGTTTCTAACTGGATTCAAATGGGAAAATGAGTAAATCCTAGATGAAAGTTGTGTGAATATTATGTGAAAAAAGTAGACCCCAAAGGATATACTATGCAAACAAAAATTGCCATAGTGTGCATCGATAAAAATGTACCATTAACAAAAATGATGCATGTTATATATTTAATTATATCAGTTATCATTTTGTCATTTCCTATGCATAGGCTGCAGGTTTGTCATTGCATACAATACTATGAGTAAATGTGATTTCATTTCCAAACTATAAGATACTTAATATTGATGATGATAATAATAATTTTACTTACTGTTTGAATAATAAAAAGGATTGTTCCAACTAGTCGGACCAGCTTATTGAAGCGAAGTTCTAGGTACTGTTGATATAGTAAAGCGAAACAAATATTGAACCTAAATATTTTTTAAAAGAAGTTGAGAACAAATAGGAACAATAAAACTAGATGAGTAAGATGTATGATGAAAGAAAGTTCTAGGTACTGTTGGTTAATTAAAGAGATACAAATATTACCTTAAAAAAGTCAACAAAAGAAGCTGTGAAAATTACAAAAAATATGTACTATGAATAAAACATAAAACAGTGATATGACCAAATAAACAATACCTTTAAATGCGTTAGATTATTTGTTATATAAAATAGAATAAACAACATTTAATCTGCATTGTTGGAAAAAGGTTTGGTAAACGTAGCTACACTTTTCCATAGAGGCATGTAAGCCTTCTCCCAGCCATATCAAGTGCAGGCGCATACTGGAGTGTGCCAGCTGGCATGTATTTTGCCAGGG